TTGCCCTGGCAGGGCGAGCTGTTTTCGCGGTTCCGCATGCCTGCAAGGAGTGCCTGGAAAACAGAAAGGTTTCCCAGAGTTAGGCAGGTGCTCTGACTTACTAGACTGGACTCAGGCCAGCCACCCAGTCTGCTGTGGTCAATGCTCTCCTCCCCCAACCATTAACACACAACTGTAACACAACTGCATGCCAGGGCCAAACCTGCTTGTTCTCTCCAATCCCTGAGAAAGGGCTCAGGCTGGAAGGTACATGCTCCTTCAGAACATCAGTGCTGGACTTCCTGTCCACAGGGCCCAAAAGGAGAAAGAGCACGGATGCTGGCAAGGCCAGAAGAGGACTCTTCAAGGGATGGGAGGGAGAACTTGGGAATGAGGATCTCCAAAGATCCCAATAATTGAGGCCAAGCTGCATCACCACTTGGGAACCCAAAGTTCCTACTATTTTTCTCAGTGGTTTTTAGACTCTGGAAGTTTTAAGGGATCTGCTTCTCTCTGTTTGTAGGACTGGTGATTTGTTACAAAGATTCAAAGGCAATTTGGTGGAGAAAGGATAGTCTTTTCAACAAATGATCCTGAATAATCTGATATCCATATGCAAAAAGAATATCAATTTTAATTTGAGCCTCAGACTATGCACAAAATTAACTCAAAATGGATCATGAACCTAAATTAAAAACCTAGAATTCTAACATTCCTAGAAGAAAATTTATGAAAATTCCTTTGTGACCAGTTGTTTTAGACCAACATTGTTAGAGCCAACACCAAAAGCACAATCCATAAGAGAACTGATGCACAGGACTTCAGCAAAAATAAAAACTTCTGCCCTTTAAAAAATACTTCAAAAAAATTTTAAGACAGGGCTGGGGCTGTAGCTACGTGGTAGAGCACTTGCCTTGCACATGTGAGGCACTGGGCTTGATCCTCCCCACCACATACATACATACATAAATAAATAAAGGTTAAATAAATAAATGAATAATAAAGATTTCATTCTCCCCCACCAAAATACTTTTAAAAAATTTAAAAACTACAAACAGCTGGGAGCCATAGCACACATCTGTAATCTTATCAATTTGGGAGGCTGAGGTGGGAGGATGCAAATTCTAGGCCAGACTTGGTACAATTAAAAAGGCAATACCAAGTGCTGCACATGATGGAAGGAAATGAAGCTCTCATACCCCGCAGATGGGGACAGCATGATATAACCACTTTGAAAAATAGTTTAGCAGTTTCTAAAAAAAATTGGCATTAGATGTACCATATAAGCTAGGTATTCCATTCTTCAGTATCTGTTTACCAAGAAGAATAAAAAGCACATATCCACATGAAGACCTGTACACAGGTATTCCAGGCAGTCCTATCTGCAAATAGACAAAAACTGGATACCACTCAACTTTTTATCAACAAGTATATAAATAAACTATTATATTCATACAATAGAATACTATTCAGCAATAAAAAGCAATAAACTGACCTGTATAGTAGACAGAGTACTCAGAATAGATCTCAAAATAACTATGCTAAATGAAAGAAACCACAAACAAAAGAAACCATACCATATGATTCCATTTATATAAGATTCTAGAAAGTACAAACTTACCTATAGTGATAGAAAGCAGAACAGTGGTTGCCTAAGGGTGGCAGGGAAGATTCAAAGGGACATGAAAGAACTTCAATAGGCGATGGATGTAATTATAATGATTATCTTATTGAGGTGATGGTGTACTGGCATACTATACACATGTCAAAACTTATCAAATTGAATCTTTAAAAGGTACTAGTTGTACTTTAGCTATGTTTCCTAATAAACCTATTTCTTTTTTCCTACAAATGCTGAATTTGACCCAGAAACTTACTGGAATGTTTGTGAGGGTTTAATTAAGCAGGAGAGCTAATTAGTGAGCACTGGTAGGTGTCAGGGGAGGTGCAGGACTGAAGCACAAAGCCCAGGCTTCCACACACCTCAGGCAAGTGGAGACCGGACAAGAACAAAGTGCACCCTAGGATGCTAATTCCACAACTGGGAAAAATACAGACAGTGCACCTTCAATTCTAATATCCACATGAATCACCTGGGTTCCTGTTAGAATACAGACTGAAATCTCTGGGTCTGCATTACTAACAAGATCCCTGGTACTGTGGGTCCTCTGGGAGTGGTAAGAGCCTGGCAGACAGTGTCTGCCCATGGTTCACCTCACCCAGGAAGATTAGAGTTACTTTCAAGTGCTCAGGTAACTAATGCCCACACAAATCTGAACATGAGGTGTTTTCTCTGTAGCGTAACCAAATGTTGGGGAAAGAGACAAGCTGAGGAGGTGGGGTTTATAATGGCATGGAAGCAATTTGGCCAGGAGAGCAGGGGACCCAGGGTAAAACAGACCACAGGGTCACACAACAAGACTTGGAGTCTTCTGAACTCTTACACTTGGGTTCTCACTTAAATTAATGAACTACTTCCTGGATCCTCTTTTATCTGTTTGTTTTATTTTGCTATGTTGCCCAGGCTGGCCTTGAACTTTCAATCATCCTGCTTCAGGCTCCTTAGTAGCTGGGATTACAGTTTTAAACCACCATGCCCAGCTCTGGACACTCTCTTTTGATTTTTTTTTTTTTTTTGGACATTCATTTAGATAAAACAATCATCTGACTCACGGTAAAGAAAGGCTGTTTTCTTCACTGATTACAATCATTCCAAAGAAAGTCTACTACACTCCCTTAGAAATCTGAACATGAAAGGATTCTCAAAAGTGTCTTAACTATTCCAAGGAACTGGCCAATACTTTTTTCATGGTGGATCTGTAGAGGCTAAGGAAGGGTCAGTACCACCTATTCCACATGATCTTTCTGCACACACATCCCCTTCCCAAGAGCAGAGGGCTAGGGACATACTTGGATGGAGGGAGCCTGGCATGGGTGGCCTGCAACCGGTCCTGCTCCCTCCTGTAGTCGCCTCCTCCTCATGGGAAAGTGTGAAGGGACCATGTCATTCTTGGTCTATCTGCATTGCCTAGCAAAGTGCCCAGGGCACAGAAGAGGTCACTGAATGTCAACCACAGACACGGTTGGCTAAAGTAGGACATGGTGTTGTACCTCTCTCAAATACCTGCTTAAGGAAAGGAACACTGGGGGCCAGGGTAGAGCTCAGTAGTAGAGCACCTGCCTAGCATACCAGAAGGCTTTGGGTTCCAACCCCAATACTGCAATAATAATAATAATAATAATAATAATAATAATAATAATAAACAGTGCCACTGGCTTCATGAAACCATGATAGTAAAGAGGTATGAAGGTTTGGATAGGAGCTCAGCTCAATTTTTACGTTGTCCTCTGTGTCTCCTTTCATGTCTCAACTTCTTACGAGTATCTGTCTTAGAAGGTAGTAAGGGCTTTAAAATGAAACACTGCCCATCAGCACTGAGCCCAAGGCTGGGTCACAGTAAGTGCTTAACAAACATCTACCACTACAACAGAATTATAATGGGGGCGGGTATTGGGAACTAATTCTCAGTACTTTACCACTGAGCTATGTCCTCAGTCCCTTTTATTTTTTATTTTGAGACAGGGTCTTGTTAAGTTGCTGAGGCTGGTCTTGAACTTGTGATACTCCCACCTCAGCCTCCCCCTAGTCCCTGGTACAACAGGATTACTATTAAACAATGCTATTCATAAGCCACAGCGGAGGTGTGTAACACTGTGGGCCTTTTGTTAATTGGTAAAGGTTCCTCTCAACCAGTCACCAGAGGACTTCCCCAGTGCACTCAGTGTCAAGCTCTTACTGAAGGCACTTCCCTTCTTCCCTTCTCCTGAGGTCTGTTTCCCGTGAGGGATGGGAAGGGGAGACATACCTGGCAACTGAGCTGAGAGGGGAGTTTAAATTCTTTACAATTCTTTTGTGCTGCTATCTGTCAGAAAGCAGAGAATTATTAGTTTAAAAAAAAAAAAAAAGCCAGACATGATGACAAGCACCTGTAGTCTCAGCGGCT